ATAATAATTTAACAAAAATGAGTAGTTCATTTACTAACTTTAAGTAATACAATTCCTATAATTTAAGTAATTCTATTGATACTTAGTAAATCATTTTATAAGTAAATGAATTCATCCTTATTACTAATTATGTTTACAATTACTAACCATGATAGTCATTTACTTGCTATTCTGACTAAATGGATTACTAATAATTACTAGTTTTTCTTAATCTAATATCTTATTTTAAAAACAACAAGTAAAACTTTTTTTAGAGTGTTGATCTCAAATGGAGAGAACTAATATAGGCCCTTGGCCTGCTGTTCAATCCATATTCATATTGTACTCTTTGTATATTATGAATAAAATACTTCTTAAACTAAACGGTTTGGTGATTTCATGAAGAGTTTAAATTTCACCGGAAATAACCACACATTCGGGTGTATACAAATCGTGAACAAGTATCCACTAGTCGATGAAAAGATGATACTGTTACATATGCCTTATCTTATCAAATTTACATTTTTAGGGGATATATTTTGCTAGAGTTTTTTTTTTAAGAAAAAAGAAATTTCGGAGTGTACGGCGTTTTGACACGTAATGATAAATTGGCATATAGAAAAGCCATGTTTTATCTCATTTTTTCTTACCTAAAATCATATTTATTCTAATAAATTCGTAAATATATATATATTTTAATTAAATAAGTAGAAATTGAATAAATTCATTTGATAAACAATTCATTTTTAAAGAAAAGGTACGTATTGGTACGTTAGTACGCTGTAATTAATTAGGTGATACAATGTACATTCCATCCACAATATTGCATGCTGTGTTATACTCGGTGATTAATCGGTGTTAAGTGAATTTGAATCAGATCATTTGGGATCAAAATGGCGTTTCAACGGAAGCATAATTTTTTGGACATAATCCCCTTTATGACTGGAAAAAGAGTTAAATGTCTCCATATTTATAAACTTGACCTGTCCTCAAAATGTAGTATTACTGGTTTGGAATGTAGAAATTAATTTAAAAAAATCATGAGATGTAAAAAAAGTTTTCGATCGTTTTTCTATTGCTAAAAATTAAATTATTTTTTTTCTGCACAAATTATTTATTAAATAATGTTCTTAATTTTTGAGTTTTTATTTAAGAAAAAAGTACTTTTCCTTTAAAGCTCATGTAATCATTGTTATTATCTATTGTGTAGGTAATTATACCTTAATCTCTCTTGGCTTATACTTACATATTTATAGACGATTTACTGATTTTAGTCGATAAAAACCAAAAGACAACTAAACTGTATGACAAACAAGATAATAGGCTTGGATCTGTGATAATGGATACTGCAAATCATATGCTTTTTAAATTCCCACGTTTGTAGGAAGAAAATGCAGCTAAAACAATCCGTCTTTTCCTTAAACTTCAATATGCCAACAAAGGAATTGAAGCAGTTATTATAAGTTGTATTCTTAATCATAAAAAGGGTCCAGTCTTGTATTCTTGCATATTTTGAGTTAAAGACTACACCTACACATATACATTGACTATTGCTTCCAAACTTTTCAATTACAAAGAAAACTTTACTTGCCCTGGATTATTAGTATCTGAGACAAACTAATTAATTCTCTATCATCATGTTCAACTTCACCCTATAACTAAAGTCCTGCTGGACACGTCGTTAATTAAAATTAATTAAAATTAATAATGAGGACCTTAGATAATTTATTTTAAAAAGTCTTATATATAGCGAACCCCGATCCTTCAACTGGCGTCAAAATTTTCATTAATATTATGGATTCTGCTGAAGATTACGCAAGACGATGGGCTAAATATAAAAAAAGAAGACGTTGACACTTTGTCAGAATGGATTAAATGTATCAGATCCATGATAAAATCACGTATTAAAAGATTGAGGGGCAATATGAAACCATCTATCCTTTTCTGTATTCAGTAATTCAGAAGTGAAAAAAGAATTAGATAGATCACATGATCAGTACGTACTGTTCCCTGCTGACATAGCAGGTAACAACATTGTCCCCGTTTGTAAGACTCATTATATAAATTGTATTTTAGACGAACTCGGATTTAATTCTACAAGAGGTAATCCAACTTATACTCATAGTTCCCTTTCTAAGGAAGAAATTCTTAAAATCTTCATCTATCCGGCCTCCTTCATCAGGCTGAAGATTATGCCAGTTTGGGTGTGCACATGGTTGATTAAAAGAAACTTGTTTGTTTGAAAATGTTCTTTTTTGGTAGTTTTTTTTTTTTTTTTTTACATAAGAACTGGATAAAAGAAAGTAATGTTCAAATTTAGTATTTCTTAATCACTCGAGATTTAATGATCTCAAGTGATTCTAGTGCCGCGATGTCCTCTGGTAAGCTGTTTCGTTATTTTGTGGTTTTGCAGAAGAATGACCACTTTCTACAGTCCTTGGTTGCAGATGGTATTACAAACGAGTGTTGTTTTGTATGACGCGATCTTCTTACAGGCTTATTGAAGTGGTCTCCTGGTCTGATGGCTACTCTGTTGTTTATTATTTTTTAAATTATCATCAGTCTTGCTTTTTTTTTCTTCTACTTTTTAAGTTTTTCCATTCTAGATCTATTTCTATAATTACCCATTACGTATCGTGCCGCTCTTCTTTGTACCTTTTCCAACATATCAATGTGGCCCTGTTGGTATGGGACGCACACCGTTGAAGTATATTCCAGTTGTATATGCTCTCTCCTTTATTGACCTAGATGATATATGGAGATTGCGTTGCAGGAATCCTAAAGTTTTATTTGCCTTTTTACAGATATTTGAAATATGTTGTTCCCAGTTTAGATCGGATGTTATAGTACAGCCTAGATATTTTGTTTATTTTTCATGGGCAAGTACATGGTTATGAAGGGTGTAGTTTTTAAATGATAGGGGTTTTCTTTTTGAAACTGTAAGTACTGTGCATTTATCTGGGTGAAATTCCATTTTCCATTTTGTTTCCCAAAGAGAGAGTTTGTTAAAGTTTTCTTGGAGAATATGACAATCTAAATTCGTCGAAATAATTAAATATACTTTAGTATCATCAGCAAAGAGCCAAACTGTGGAGGTTAGGTGGTCTGGCAGATCATTTATGTAGAAGAGGAATAGACTCGAGCCTACGAATGATCCCTGGGGCACTCCAGACTCAACCTTTGCGACATCAGACTCTTCCCCTTCAAGCACCACCACCTGGCTCCTGTTTGAAAGAAAAGCTTGTATCCAAAGATGTGTGTTTCCTTTGATTCCATAGTGATGTACCTTATGAAGAAGTAAGCTATGGGACACTTTATCAAAAGCTTTAGAAAAATCTAAGATGCGCAGATCAGTTTGTTTTCCATTTTCCAAATTTTTAGTTATGTCGTCCACACATTCTAGCAACTGTGTTTCGCATGATCTTTTACTTCTGAATCCATGTTGGAGTGGATATAAGATGTTATTCTTTCCTGCATGATTCATAATATGGCTTGTTACAATATGTTCCATGATCTTACAACACACACATGTAAGGGATATTGGTCTATAGTTCTCTGGTGTGTTTTTCTTTCCTTTTTTAAATGCTGGTGTTATGCGGGCCTTTCTCCAGTCAGATGGTACTTTTTCCTCAATCAAGGATTTTCTAAATATAAGTGTCAGTGTCGGCGCAAGTTCACTGGCAAGTTCCTTCAGGACAGTGGGTTTGAGTAGTTTAAAAACACCTGCCTCAGTGATGTTAATGTCGCTTGCTTCTGGGTAGTCTGATGGTTCACCTTCCATGAATTTGCCTCTTTTGAAGTCTTCATTGCTAATACTTTTAGAGTCTAAGATTACAGACTTGAACTGGTCATTTCAGCAGGATCAGTTTCGAGTTTACCATTCTGTTTTAATGGTTAGACTCCATCTTTATCGCTCTTTTTATGCTTGATATACGTCCAAAATCTTTTTGACATCCCTTTGGCTGTGTTTTCTTCAATCTCTGGAGTGAATATACTCTTAGTATATGATCAGTATGCTCTCCTGGTCTGTTTCTGGGTTTGATGTTTCAACTCCATATACTTCTTGATGTCATCTTTCTGGTGTGTTTTCTTTTTTAGCTTGTAAGCCCTGCCACGTCTTTTTATGAGTTTCCTGATGTCCCCTGTTATCCATGGCAATTTAGTTTTCCGTCTTGCTACCTTAGTTGGAATATGTGTATCTATTGCTTTCTCTAAGCTTGAAATCATATGTCAGTTTAGAATATTTTTAATATCCCAAAAGAACCAAAATGAATTTGAACTACCATAATATTGGATTCCAAAACTTCATAAGAACACATACAAAGATGGATAGCGGGTTCCAGTAAATGTTCAACCAAGCCTTTAAGATATTAACAGTAGTAAAGGAGAAACTTCAAGACTACACTGTGCAACTGTTAATTATCTTTTCTTTACATCTTAGAAAAAAACACAGGTCCCTTTAAAGTTGAGTAACTTAATTAAACAAGATTACCAAGATTGCCATTTGTTTTAATGGCACCTGATCCCACCTCTGATGTTTAGTAGGTCCGTGTTTGCTCTGCTCTTATTTTATGTTGTTTTATGGTATCTATCTTAATAACTGTTCGTTATCTTCATATGTTTCATTACTCACATTATTTGTCGATAGTTATCTGAAATCGTTCGTAGAACATTTTCTTTTGTATCAAATCAAATAGAAGACAAAACCTTATGAAAGGTGAAAATTGTATTTTTTTGCATTAGTAAAGGAAGTTGACTGTGGAATGTTGAAAGGAAGATTTCACATTTATTCTAAAGTCATAAGTATACCATCAAGGTTTTTTTTTCGTGTCAAATGCACAAATATAAAACAAATGTATTCGACTCGGTGGAATTATTATTTTTTTTATTTATCAAGTTCAATGTATACATATTTAACCATCAATAATTTTAGCACAATATTTCAATACATTTAGAAAAACACTTAACAAATCCAATTTATTGACGTCAATCATCCCCGATTTACAATATCCATACTACAGATTCCGATGTGGGATGTACGAAGCAGGGTGGAATCTGTCAGCAGACGACAGAGAAGTGCGGCCGGTCCTACGTCAGATTCCTCTGTGGAGGTGACAATGATAGAAGATGTTGTTTACCAAGTAAGTCTCCGAATCAGGACAGAATTATAAGTCAATCCTAATCCAAGTTTGATGAAATTCAAAAAGATTCTAATGGCGGGATTTTTTTTTATTGGAGTATGCTTTCATCAGGAAAGCTGAAGGTTTGATTTAAGAAGTTATTATTTTTTTTTTTTACATTGAAAGTTATTTTTGATATATTTACAATATGTAGCATCGAAAAATATCCAGACCAACAAAAAGTACTTAAATATATGAAATTAATGATTTTAATATCAACGCAAATTATACTTAGATTTTATAAAATTTGAATAATAATTTGATTTACTATTAAAATTTACTCTAGTTTATCGTTATATTTTGAGCCTTTATGTTCCAATATTATATGTATTTGCATAGTTGATGGATATAATATGTGAATATGCCCTGAATGGTTACCTTTAATATGCAGAGGTCGGATTCAGAAATGTTATTTTTACATGCTTAGAATACAATATGCTAAATGTCCTACATTTGCGATGAAAATATATAAGCTATGCGTTTTTCCATATTCAAAAAACCTTACGTCATATATCCTACATTTGGCATGATTATGAATAAAATATGCCTGTTTTCTGACTTGTAGATGCCGATGCTCCTTGTACGGAAAAAGGCGGGAAATGTATGTCAGCAGACAAGAAGTGTACAGGAAAGAAAGTAGGCGGATTGTGTGGGGATGAAGACAGAAAATGCTGTATACATTGTACGTTATATACCTCCAAGCAACCATGAACTCCTTCAAAACGACGGTCAGCATTCATATATTTTTTTGTATTTTCAAAGTGATAATTAAATATTAATTTTAAATTGTAGGCCTAGGTAAGTCCAGGCGTAGGGGCTCCACATGCGGTCACGACAGATGCTGCAAAATACCGGGCTTTTATCACATACCATAGTGGTGAATTTCTAGCAGCATTTAATGTCCATTGAACAGAAAATAAAAAGAATCTAAAAATTAACAGCTATGCGTGATCTTAAATTGGTACTGATCATAAAGAATGAATGAAAGAATAACCGAAAAGTGAAGCTAAGCTATGGATTCCAGAAGACCAGTTTTCCCACTTTACCTTTATTGATCAGCTAAAGATTAGTTAAGTAGTTTAAGGAAGGTATGACTAGACAAGTCTGAATCAAATAAAGCATAAATAAAGGAATTAATATTTATGTAAAGAATCACATAAAAAGCCTCAATTTACATACAGAGATTTGATTAATAAAGTGTAAAGCAACCCCAGGCCAAAACAAAACAAAGCAAGAGGCCACATCGCCTAAATGAGCAAACTGACTGGGAAAAAGCACAAATCAGATCAGAACTGAAAAGTTTACTGAATGGGGGGGGGGGGGGGTGAATTAAATACTACTTGAGAATGCCTTTATATGAATACACATATTACTTTGCTGTTCTTGATACAAAAGATTTGTTAAAAACATTTTCTTCCTATATGTAACTTCATAAAAATTTGAATTTGATTCCCCTTTGTTTCCCTCCCTACCCCAAAGGGCCATGATTTGAATAAATTTAAATCAGGATTTGAACAAACTTAATTCTACACTACCCAAAAATGCTTCCATATAAATACTAGTATCACTAATCATGGCTTTGCTATTCTTGAGAAGAAGATTTTTAAAAATATATTTAAAGGTTAAAAAAGGATCCCCCATTGTGACCCCACCCTATCCCTGGGGGTTATAATTTGAACAAACTAGAATCTACACTACCTGAGATTGATTCCATATAAATTTCACTAATCATGGCTTTGAAGTACTTGAGAAGACAATTTTTAAAGATTTCCCTATCTAGTCCTATGTAAAAGACAATTTTTCCACCCTAAGATTTGAACTTGAATCTACACTACCTGAGGATGCTTCCACATGAGTTTCATCTTTCCTGGCCCAGTGGTTCTTGAGAAGAAGATTTTTAAAGATTTTCCCTATATACTCCTATGTAAAACTTTGATCAGCCATTGTGGCCCCACCCTACCCTCTGGGGTCATGATTTGAACAAATCTGAATCTTCACTACCTGAGGATGATTTCACATGAGTTTCATCTTTCCTGGCCCAGTGGTTCTTGAGGAGAAGATTTTTAAAGATTTTCCCTACATACTCATATGTAAAACTTTGATCGGCCATTGTAGCCCCGCCCTACCCCCAGGGGTCATGATTTGAACAAACTTGAATCTACACCACCTGAGGATGCTTCCACATGAGTTTCATCTTTCCTGGCCCAGTGGTTCTTGAGAAGAAGATTTTTAAAAGATGCCATTAATTTTTCAATAATTCATAATTATCTCCCCTTGGAAGAGGGTGTGGCCCTTCATTTGAACAAACTTGAATTCCCTTCACCTAAGGATACTTTGTGGCAACTTTGGTTGAAATTGGCCCAGTGGTTCTTGAGAAGAAGATGAAAATGTGAAAAGTTTACGACAACAACGACGACAACAACAACTACGACGACGACGCCGACGACAGACAACGGACAAATTTTGATCAGAAAAGCTCACTTGAGCCTTCGGCTAATGTGAACTAAAAAGAAAAAAAAATCTAACACTTTGTATATAACGGGTCGAGTTTTGCATATCAAAGGGCGCATTCAACATAACCAATAACACAATTATTTACGATTTTGCTGACTTGTTTCACACCAATCGTTTGGCCTTTCTTTTTGTATCAATTTTTGAATGTACCTGCTACTTGATCATTACACAAGGCTCACGGCAGGTGTGACCGGTCAGCAGGGATGCCTACACTTCCTTGGCACCTGATCTCAGCTCCTAATTTTTCAGTGGTCCGGGTTTAATGTCCTTTTCACATATATAGTTTTTTTCTTCTTTTACGTCTAATACTCAACTGAATTATCATTTTCGATTTTAAAATGCGTCTCTTATTCTCTTTTGAAATTTTTTCCACCATATCCGCAACTCAAGTTTCCTTGCCTGATGAAAAAACATATGGAGATAACGAACAGTTATCAAAAGATCAAAAGTCCATAAAACAATACAAACTGGGAGCACAGCAAACACGGACCTCCAAAACATCAGAGGTGGGATCAGGTGCCATGGAAGAGTTAACATCTCCTGCTGGCGGTCACACCCGCCGTGTGCTCCTTGTCATGATCAGGAAAAAGCCCGGAAAAATCCGTCGTCAATTCAGTGTATAAATAATGGACTAACAATTAGTATGAAAACGTCAGATCAGTCAGCTTTTGACTCAATGATAAATTATATTTGCTGACAAGGTCATTGCATCGACCAAAGAACTTACAAAATGATGTTTTGAAACGAAGCTGCTGAAATGCCTGTTTCATGAACTTGTTTGTCAATAATTCATCTCGTTTTAGAAATTGTTCATACTTGGAGCATGTTCTTGAGTATCGAATCAACTGAGATATATAAAATCCGTATGCAGGTGATGAAGGTATATTGCTGCATAAGTAAGAAAAGTTGACTATTGTAAAGTTAAAGTCATCACCTTTATCATAGAGTTTGATTGATAGATTACCGTTAACCTCTTTTTCAAGTAAAATATCCAAAATATGAAACAGATGTGTCAGACTCTGTAGTATCTCTGTGGTCGTCGATGTATCTAAATATCGAGTTGAAGGACACAGCAAGTGTTTTCTTCTTTTCACGTATATGATTTCGGACAAATTCTGCTTCATATGAATACAAAGACAGGTCTTCTAATAACAGGGCGCAATTGGTACCCATGAGAATTCTAAATGACTGTTTTGGAAGACCTGGTCTCCAAAACCACATGGATATTGTCAATCATAGACTCAAGCATCTTTTTGATGTCATATTCAGAGTACATGTGTGTGCAATCAGAATTCAGAATGAATAAAATTCTTTCATCCAGACATACTGTTTCTGGGGTAAAATATTGAAGAACGAACATTTTGATATTTTGGATATTCAAAGTAAAATTCTAAAATTCTAAAAATCCAGAGTTTTTTTGTTATTTAAAATTTGAACATTTGAATCAAAATTCTAAATATCTAAAAATCTAAAACACTAGAGAGTTGAAATTTTGAAGTCAGAAGTTTATTTTAAAAAAATCAAAAGATGAAACAGTGTTACTGAACTTTAGATTGCATAGCGTAAACTTTCTGAACAAACGGTAGATTAAAAACTCAAACGTTTAAAATTCAAAAATCATTTCTTAAAATTTGAATTTTGAATGTTTTTGGTAAAAATATGAATAATTGATATTTTAAAATTTATTTGGAAATTGGAAAATTAAGATATTTGAACTAAAAAATAGTAAATTTCAATATATCAAATCAAATTGAGTTTTTGAAAATTAAAAATTTCAACTAATATATTAACATTCTAAAACTCATTATAGAAATTTGAATTGCTAAGTGTTACACGGACCATGTTTTCAGTACTTTTTTTTTAAAATACATACATCATACTTTTATTGTCTGAAGCAGGGGATATTTTGTATTTTTTTTTTTATATTAAATGATATATTGAAAAAAATCAAAACATCTGCAAGAAGGCGTGTAAGATGGTCTATTTAAAAACAACTTGACTCAAAACTTTAAATTAGAAGAGAAGAATTTATGCACGGAAATATCCAAATGGAACTAGAATTTACTTGATTTTTCTGCGTTATAAAATATTTTCCAAGGCCCTAAAAGCACTCAGTTGAATAAGATAGATTGTTAACGATGCATGAGATTGAAATATTTTGACTATATTTTTAGATATTAAAATTTACATTGTAATATATAGAAAAATATTAATTACATGGAGTGTAATTATCTGGAGTCCTTCTCTGACTAACATTGCATACAATATGTAAGCTACTGATGATATTTGTTTTCTCTTTTTTCATACAAATTTTATGGAACAATCTATTTTAAGGTAAATATCTGTGCCACAATACGTAGATACTAATCGTTGGATGATGCTTGCACTGGACGAGATAACATAAGTGATTATATAATCAGAATGAGTAAATTTGCAAAAATGAATGAGTACGTTTGTTTGTCCTAACTCGAACAGGTTATGTTGATAAGTTAGAAAGGAAGAAACGTAATTACATGATAATTAAATATTTAAAAAAGGGACCATTTAGATAATTCTAAATAACTGAAGAAAATAACATGACATAATGTATTGAGATAAAACGACGGAATTTCTTAATTGCGTGTTATTTCAAGGACACAACTCCAACAAAAATATAAAAACCTGTGGATGTATCCTGATTCCTTTGAGAAGTCTAAAACCTAAACATGTATAGAACGGTTTCTTCTGCTTTCATCTTTTTACTGATTTTGGCTCTAGTTTCTGCAGGTGAGTCATACATTCCACATGAAAACTCCCATTTTTAAAAAAAATATATAAATATTAAATTCAAAGAGGACTAGTATTTTAATTTTTACTGCATTAGTATCGAATTATTTAAATGTTTTCAAGCTCAAAATCTTAAAAAAGTTTTTAAGTAAAATTTCACATTAAATATCACTATACTTACTGTTTTTAACTTTAACTATTAAATTAGAGTTTATTAAAGTAAATTTTTGTATTAATGGTCACATTTTAATTCAATGATATTGCAAATTCTATCTACAAACATAACGTTAAAAGCCTACTGTAAATTTCTCCGATTAACAAATAATCAGAATTCTTACATGTAATGAATAAATCAACAAAATGAAATAAATTTGCTATAACCTTCTTATACTTAGGGTACTCCGATCAGGAGTTGGGTAATAGATAGTTTTCGATAGGCCTGAATTTAGCGAAAGTTACCTCCCGTTGGCCGCCATATTGGAGGTCGACTCAGTGATTTTCCCTCTTTGTCTTACCAAGTTTAAGAAAATATAGCAGAAATATTTGGTGGAAAATCTTTATCAAATAATTTTTTTTAAATAAAGGAGGCTTCCAAAAATTTATATAC